GACCGATCAGTGTATTACAGTACCACGAGAACTAAAGAGAGCAGAGTGCTCCATGCACTTTCGAATCGCTCTCGCGGATGTCAAACACTAATCGATCTGCGCCGCACCTCTTCTAGTCGAACACACCGGCTAGTGCTGCAGGCTTATTGGCTCACTGACGCCGATGAGATTAACCCCTTAGGTATCGAAATTTGGTTCCGAACGACGAGACGTTTTTCGATACTCGATGGTATCGAGGCATTTCGGTCGGTGCCTAAAAAGATTCGAACTCGATACCCAGCCCTACCAATAAGAGAACTTCCTTCCTTTTTTTTTTTTAATCACACCCCGCTTTTTTTTTGCTAGAGGGGGGGAACAAGACTCCTGTGCTGTGCAGAGGAGTGCTACAAAGCCTCCGTGAGTGCTGTAGCCCCTCTTTTGATTTAAACCCAGACCACAGGTTAGGTCGCCCGCCTCTTTTTGCCTCCCTGAGGTTTAGCTGGGCGGTGCTTAGCCGCTGCTGCTGCAAACGAGGCCTTGCCTCTGGGCTGGGGTTGTTTTGGGTGAACCCTCTGCCTGCATTGACTGCTGAGGCAGGGGGTGCCTAGGGTTTCTGTGCCCTGACTGTTCCCCCCTGGAAGCAGAGGCAAACCCCGGACGCATGGGTTGGGGGGGCCGAGCAGTCGGCTTCCTGGGAAGGCAAGTTTCAAAAGCTTCCCCGTCCTTCTTGCGCACTCCCCTCCTTGCAGCAGCATGGAGAAGAGATATGCTGAGAATGAAGCAGGGACCGCTAGCAGCGATATATATGAGGGAGGCGGGACTCCCGCATCACTGTCGTGATTTGTCTGTCAACCGACAGACGTGGTGTAATTGGTGCTTCCAGGATCGGTCACACCCGAGACGATTCCCATAGTGAGATACCAAACGAATGTTTGAAAGAGAACCTTGCCTTAAATAACATAGATAGCTTAGCTAATAGATTGTACAGTAGCTAACTACTAGTTTAAAAGGATAGCTTTACTGTAATTTAACTACTTTGAAGCCATAGCTTCCCGTGCTACTCATATTCATTAGATTCCCAAATACAAAACGTTCATACGGGAACCAGACAATTTCTTATTTTACACATCACAATGATAAAGGTTTCTGTACCGGATAGGACTTGTGTGTAGTACTTATACCATCACCTCCCCCCAGCGGCACCGGGCTGCGGAGCAACCTCGTTCATTTCAGCGGGAAGCACGGAAAGACTCGGGTCCCCTTTATTCGCGGCCGCGACTCGTACTCGGCGCTCCAAAACCCTTAACGGGAACTGAGAGCAGTGCGGGCATCACTCGGGATTAGCGAGCACAGTCGGTGCGTGTCTAACTCCCAAACATGCTATGCACAGAGGGTGAGAGTCTTTAGGTGAAATCATAGACCCGCAAGCACACGGGCGAGAGGGATCGCTTCCCGTGCTACTCATATTCATTAGATTCCCAAATACAAAACGTTCATACGGGAACCAGACAATTTCTTATTTTACACATCACAATGATAAAGGTTTCTGTACCGGATAGGACTTGTGTGTAGTACTTATAATTAGCATTACTTAGACTTATATATACACTTATATTATGTTACTTATATATTGCTTATATAACATGCTGTGTGTGTGCGTGTGGGGGGGGGTTACCTTTCCAGCTGTGGCGAAATATTCTCCATCTGGAGACCACTGAGTAATATGAACAGCAGCAGCAGTCCTGACATAAAAAACACATGAAGCAGAGCAATTTACACCCACACAAACACAGGTAAAAACTCTGTGCACATAGTGAAATATATTTAATAAAGGGCCCTCATAAAGGGCGTTCTGAAGACCCACATTTCACCTGCAAAAAATTTTTTACATAAAAAAAAAAAAAAAAATTCAATTTTACTATTTTTAAAATAATTTTAATTGTTAATCATTATCACGTCAGTCAAAATTTTAGAATTTGATGTTTTCTGTTTTCTATTTCTATTTGTTTTCATTTTCTACCCTCACTAACTATAACCATGCATTTATAAAAATTGTTTAAATTCTAAGATAACAGCAGCCACATAATGAACACTGAAATCCATCCAGCTTTAAAAGACACTGCAGTTAAGCTGACAGTCCTACCATAGGATGCTATTAAAGTTATAATAAGTGAAGTGAAGTGACGTGACATGTGGCCAAGTATGTTGACCCATACTCGTAATTTGTGCTCTGCATTTAACCCATCCAAGTGAACACACACACAATTCTGCGGCGCCCGGGGAGCAGTTGGGGGTTCGGTGCCTAGCTCAAGGGTCTCACCTCAGTCGTGGTATTGAGGGTGGAAGAGAGTGCTGGTTATTCACTCCCCGCACCTACAATCCCTGCTAGACCTGAGACTCGAACCTGCAACCTTCGTGTTACAAGTCTCTAACCATTAGGCCACGACTGCCCCCAAGTCATAAAGTTATAAGTAAAGTTTAAGTAAAGTTATAATAATATATAATTATTATTATAACATTTATAATATTTTAAAGTGTTTTATTTTGATTGCTAATATTTTGTTGATTTAATTAATTATTAGATTTTCAGCAATTTTTACACCCTTTCAAATAGAAATTTCAAACACCCCACAGTCCCCTCGCAAACTCCAGCTTGAGAAAACCCTGGGCAATATTACGCCTACACATTACATAAAAATCTTATTTAAGAAAAGTAAAAGCCTTCTTTTTCCATTATACGACCCATTTAAATAATTTAATTCATCAAATGTGCTTTAACGTTCAGTAAATCAGACAGGCGACATTTAAGATTTAGTATGCAGACAGGAGTGTGGTTAAGATTTTAAGCTGCACTCACTTGCACTGCCAGACACATTTCCAGTCGTTGAGCATCAGCTCATGAGCTCTATCATCATTCAGCTGACTGTCCTCTTCCTCTATCAGCGTGTCACTGGTTGGAGGAGCCCACAGCTGCAAACGCTCAGTCGCCGCCAAGATACGATTGCCTACATGACAAACAGATGTAATTAATATTACACATATACATTTAACGTTACCATATACATAACAAAAGTTTGGGTGCACTTGTCTTTTTTTATATTATTATTATCATTATTACTATTAATATTTCCCTCATTTTATAATAATAGGGAAGTTATCAGAATTATAAAACAACACAAATGGAAGTTTGGGGATTATTATGGTTAGTCACTGTGTTATTATACAGTAACCAATCTAACAAACCTGCACCATTTACCACTATCATTTACCATTTATCAAATCTCAAGTTTCACGTTTTATTCTGCTTATTCAAACATAAATAATCCAGAGTTTGCACTTAAATCAGAGAAATATCTCCTAAATGTATTATTTAATCAGAAGACTCAAACAGAGTTGAAAAAAGGGAACTACTGAAAACATTTAGTTCATTCACAGACAAAGTGTATATTTCAAACAAACCTTGCGGGTCCCAGGCCAGATTGTAGGTTATAGCATTGAGAAAGAACTGACCAGTCTTCTGCCACTGGTAATTCAGTTGCTTTAAAAAAATAAAAAAAATAAAAATAAAAATAAAAATATATATACACTTTTACACTAAATAATGAAATTACATTAATGATAAATAATTTGTAACAATAATTAATAAAGAGTTTTTGATAAAACATGAATATTCAAAATCAGTAAAATACTCTCAGGAAAATATAGAAAACATATTTGGGTAAATTACTAAAGATGTAAAAATGGCCATAGTAATCATTATTATCACTCTCTGAAAGAAGATCCACTGTCCTCCAGTGCAAAACTCACCTTGTGACGTTTGTTTGGGTTTGAAGCTATTGGTTCAAAAATACAAACGGTATTTCCATAGGATGCAGCAATCTAAAAAAAGACACAATTATTTACAAATTATTTATAATTACCATAATAATAAAAGAGCAGTTCCACCATCAGCAAAGAGAAACTGTGAACACAAAACCACGTCAAAAACCCAGTCAGTGCAAATAACTGGATATATGTTCATCTATTCATGTTCGTACTCTGTCAGGAGTGAGTTGTGGCTTATCAGATCCACAATATCTGCTCATCAGTGACTGATGCCTGTGTCTAGAATGTGGCTGAAACACATATATTTTATATGTTTTGCTACATTTCTCTCTTCTGTCCCAGCCTTCAAATTAGTGCTGGGCGGTATGACCAAAAATTCATATCATAACAAAAATAAACACCGGTATTCGGTATGAACCGGTATACCGCCCAGCACTACTTCAAATCAATTTGCAAGCTGATTCCCCAAAACATGAGGTGCTCTCCAAACATTGCTCTTTTAGATTAAGCACTCCAACCAGCCTGAGCAGGACTTTCTTTTTGTCCATCCAAGAACAGATGGCCAAAGTGCAACTCCATTGGGTAAAGCTAATGATGCAGCAACTAAATGAGAACAATTGGTATATTTGTACAACACTGCAAAATTTACATTAATACTTACACACACACACACAAAAAAAAAGCAAAACATAAAATGTTCATTACCGATTAACATGTTTGTTAATTGGCCAGCTAATAATTTCAATTTGGCCAAATCAAAAGCTGCTATTTTGGTTTAGGAATGTCTGTTCTAGTCAATAACTGCCCACTGCTCATGTTTCTGTTTCACTAGGATGGATTACTTTTGTTATAGTATTCCACATTTGTTCAGTGTTTTGTATTAAAGGTCTGCTATAAGCATTAATGTAAATGTAAGAAGTGGAGTATGGTCTTACCCGGCCAAGCTGCTGAGAGCACTCCACACAGCCCACCTGGATGTTTCCATTCTGAGCTCCAGGAATAATTTGAACACACTCAAAATCACTTGCAAGGATCACGATATCACAGCCTGAGCCATAGGCCTAAAGAAACAGAAATCACTCAGTTAAACTTTGCCATTTCTTACAACTAATATAACACATTACAATACAGATTTCAAAAAGCCAAGCAAACACAATGGTCCACTTCTTCAACAAGAATTTCAACATCTATCAGTCATTCAGATTATGCTTCTACATGCATGAAAATTAAATATATGCATCTCCATAATTTACACATTATTTATTCTGTGAATTATTGTAAGACTGTACCAACAATTTAAGATAGATATATGACTATAAACAATGATAGAATCATATATAGACTTATGCATGAACAGTACTGATTATCTGTAATAAACAAAGGGAGACAGACGTACTTTTTCCACCGAGATCTATAAGGTTCATATTCAAATTCATAATTTTATTCAGTAAAGGCTTATTAAATTGATGAAAGTTTTGGGATCATTTCACATTAATACTTTTTTTTTTCTATTCATCAAAGAATCCTGGAAAAAAGTGTGATAGATTCAACAAAAATATGAAACTGTTTTGAACACTGATAATATAAAGATGTTTCTTTCTTTCTTCAGCAAATAAACATGAATCATAGAATGATTTCTGAAGTATCATTGAAGACTGGAGTTCTGACTGCTTTGCTATCACAGGAAAAAATTACATTTAAAAAAAATATATTCAAATAGAAAACAGTTTCTTTGAATTGTAATAATATATTACACTATTACTGTTACTCATCTTACTATTACTAAATTTTAGGAATGCACCGATATTTATCGGCCGATTTTTTATTATTTTAAAGTCATCGGCATATCGGAAATAGCATGAAAAGGGCCAATACCGATGGTTTATTAATTAACTGCATGGAGACAACGAGTTGCATGTCTGTTGTATAATCCAACGTTTTTCTCTGGGCAAAATAATTAAATACTTGCCAAAATAAAATCTGTACAAAATATAGTTTGTCAGACGCCATAGTACAGCCTATGCAAACGTGACGCTGATGCATCCAACATGTGAAATGCCCGCTCTCAGCTGTAAATTCATCATAGGTAAGTCGCAAAAGCTTTACAGTTTTGAATGGTGTTTTGCTTCTATCTGTATGACAAACCAGCGTTGGTATGACCATAAATTTCGGAGTAACAGTTGGGAAAATAACGCAGTGATCGCGTCGGTGCCTCACACGCACATACAACAAATTTTTGCTAATTTGACATCGCAGCCTATTCATTATTAAAATAAAACACAGTTAAAGAAACATAAAAAGTTACACTGCTCAATTTAAATAGTCCATAGTACAGTCTGTGCTGTTGTGACCAGCATCATACTTCACATACTTCACATGCGTCAGTGCTGATATAGCCTATATGTGAAGTATGATGTTTTACGTTGATAATGCGAGTAAAGAACAAAGCCTATAGTTTACATAATAAATATTTGTTTAGCATCCAGATAATTCGCGAATATGGAAACATTTGGATTCGTGCAGAATGAGAGAGGTAGGCTTCAGTTTCGTTTTTAAATTAATTTGTTTTGGCTTGACGCTTTTATTTAGCCTAAATACAACTTTAGAGGATTTGTTGTGGAGAGAAGGGAACTAAAATAGCCTAATTGTGTTTGTAATTTTGCTTTTATTTACCAGTATTGTAGCCTACATTATTTCTGAATGCAATAATAAAATGCAACGTACAGCCTACTAATTTAGGTTGTTTTTTTCCCCTCTCAAAACGCTTATAGGAGTAGTGTTTTTTTTTTTAATCCATGCTGAAGCATTTTTAAATATCTTTAAAAATACTTTAATGTTTGACAGTTGACAATAATGACAGTTGACAGTAATGCGTTGACAGTTTTCTTTTTTTTTTTATACATTTGGTCCTTGGTAAATCTAGAAAAGTTGATGCTGTATTGGCTATGATAAAGTGAGATCAAGACTCTCTTCATGATTTTTTTTTTCTTTTTGAGTAAACAAAACACTGTACTTCATTATTATTATTATTATTGGCAAAGAAAAAGTTTTAAAAATAACGTTAATAATCAGTATTTTTTCTACTTAAACTGATTTCATGGAGGAACGGAGGAACGGAGGAACGCAGGAACAGAAACGTTCAAATACCGATTCTGCTCGGGGTGAACCAATCTTTTTTTTTCTCTCTCGTTTTTAAGCCCTGCTTTATGCAATTGACCAATATCAGTATCGGATTCGGCCAATAGTTGTTTGTTAAAATCGGTATCGTATCGGCCAAAAAATCCTATCGGTGCATCCCTACTAATTTTACTGTCTTTTTGATCAAATTAATACAGCATTGGTGACCATAAAAGATCTCTTTAAAAAAAAAAAACAACAACAGAAAAAACCTTAGCAACCCCAAACTTTTGAACGCCTGACTGGGATTCAATAAAAAAAAAAAGGGAACTGAATTTTCTCTTTCTTATTTTGTAGTTGTTTTATTATTATTATTAATATATCCCTTTCAGCATTCACTGTCGAGTTTTGATGTTTCTATATTGGTTACAGTTCAAGTGTAACTGCTTTGGCAATGTAGCATATTCTAGCAATGCGTGTCATAACAGAACTGAGAAAGAGTAACGATTCAGAAGGGTCATATTTACACACCGACATTTACATTGATACTGTAATTATACCATCTAAATACAATGTGTTGTGACAATTCACAATGTTGTGGTAAAAATACAAAATTACAGAGTTAAACAACAGCAAAAAGAGTGTAATGCTCTACATAGAGTGGGGAAGTAAACATCTACACACACACACACACACAGTGTCGGACTCTAAACAGATGTGCCCATTTGATGAGATAAATATGCTTACTGATGCATCCTGTTTTTTTCTGGGTTACAATTCCTCCTGGCACTGATCTACTGCACATGCTCAGTTCAGCATTTTTAGTCATGTTTTGAATAGCACAATACTACTCATAATGGTATTTCAGAAATTTAGAAACTGGATGATCGGCTACATGCCAAAATGTACAGGGCACAACAAAGCCAGTGTTTCCGCTACATTCATTCTGACGTGGTGGGCCGCCACACCAAAAATCATCCCTTATAAATATAATTTTTTGTATATTACATAGATGAAATACTTTTAATAAAATTAGAAAAATGCCACTACAAAGTTAAAAAGAAAATGCCCCTGTAAATCACTTTGAGTCAAATATCACCTCAAATTAGGTAATTTTTTATCAGAATTTTTTTTATTATTCATCAGAAGGTGCTCCTAAATTTTTTAAATTAGGAGGACAAGCTCTCCTAAAAAGAAAAGTAAGTGTAGAGCCCTGTGTAACAGTATAACAGAGCCATGCATGAGGTCTTAAAGAGACAGCAGCCTAAATAAACATGTTGCTGTCTGTCATTATTTTACAGTTGAATAGTGTCATTATTTTACAGTTGAATAGATAAAGTACTGTTAATTTAATTTGTATCTTATTGTTTTTGTTTGTGCTATTGATTGTCATTAATTTATTTGTTCTTATTTTATTATTTACTATGTACTTGTCTTTTTTGGTTAAAATAAATTCAATTCTGAGTGCACATGATTCTTGGGTGGGGAGGGGGCGTGGTCCATGGGAAATAGTTCTGAAAGCACACTACCCTGATTAGTGTGACCCATAAGTCAATGCACTCAGCATTCTATGTCTAATGACAACAGCTGCTTCCCAATTCATCTGCTTATACTATAAAATATATTAAATATATTTTGAGTGTGTAGCAGAAAATTAGGCAACCTTTGGGACATACTACTTCTTCATAACTGCATCTTTAAATGTGCTCTGTTGCTTAGTTACACGAATCCCATCACACTTTAAACTGCCCTGTTGATCATCTTGTCACATCCTTCGCATTTTGTTTCATTTATCTTCCTACCGTATTGGAGAGGAATGAAGAGGCATGTTGATCTGCCACTAGTGAGTTTTTCATGCCAAGAACTCTCCTGACGTGATTGCATAACGAAAGTTAATGAACAAACTTATCATTATAAAAGTTCACACTATTGCTGCAGATGAAATATAATGTGGATAACATTAACTAAAATTTTTTTTCAGCATGTTAAATACTGATTATTAATCACGCAAACCCCTTTGTCTAAATGTCTCTACTGAAATGACGGTCTCGTATATCCCCCATGTTTGTAGTTTTTCAGCACTTCTTATTTGTGTTTGTAGTTTGAATCGAACGCACATGGATTAGGGCTGCCCTCGACTAAAGATTTTTCTGGTCGACTAGTAGTCGTTAATTTTAAGCATTAGTCAACTATTAGTCACACTTTTATTAATAAACCATATAAATTATAATAAGCATATGGATGTCCTGCCCGATGTACTATATTACCACACAGACCAGCCGTTAACGATTTGTCCGTCACGGACTGCGTGATTTCGCCACTTCGTGTGGAATTTTTTTTTCTGCGACTAAGCGACAAATGAAATTTTGGTCGACCAAGCCTCTTCTCGTCGACTAACGGTTAGTCGACTATTAAGGGGCAGCCCTAGTATGGATATATGTACTTTGAATTTTCACTAGAAATAAACCATCGAGGGACTTTTGGGATACCCATTTCAACAATTTTGGACACACTAATTATATTTTTAAATATTATTTAAGACGGACAGTATGCAAATTGGGACACAGCAAATGTTTACATTTTAATTTGTTCAAAGGTTTAAACTGCAAAATTTTAGATTATAAAGCTGGATGTACTCACTAACATAACAAGGCTAGGTGACAATTAGAGATCGACCGATATATCGATTTACCGATATTTTTCCCAATATTTAAGCATTTTACCATAATCGGATATCGGTTTTGTAATATCAGATTCACCGATAAACGCCCCCACCTTATGGGTGTTTTGAGAATTGCGCGCAGGATCGCCATTGAAGCGTCTGAGGGGAGACGAGACAACAACAACGGCATGGTGCAGGTAGCCTACTTGATTTGCTGTAGTTAGTAAACTTTATTTAACATAACAGCCATTTATGCACAAATTAGATGCATTACATAAATGC